AAGAGCAGACTCAATCTCACAAAAAGCAAATGAGAGCCGTGGTCTGACATTGCTACTAAAAAATCCCTCTATTGTACTCTCCTCATCAGATACCTTCAGAATTGTCCACGAAAACACTGTCTTAGCTAATGGAGGAGTCACAACGGCTGTTGTATTAACAAGATGAAGCATAGAACACATCACTGGACTTAATTGGGAGCTAATGATACTCGTAGAATGTACAAAACAAAAAATAGTAGCAGGAACAAAACGAAAAAAGCAGATGAGAATATACTCATGAGATCTTGAGAGGGATAATACTATATATACAATGAGACAATATAAACTTTTATGATAAGATTTCAAAAGAAGTGACATACTTATGGATGAGTCTTTACAATGCAGTCTTAAAATAAGATCTACTAAGTGAGGTCTGAGTTCACAATATATAGTACACACAAGTTGGTATGTACTTAGTACTACAATAAGACAATATAAAGACAGACTTAGCAATAAAATAGTGACATACTGAGTGATAGGAGTCGACAACAGAGAGACAGTACAATAAATACAACTGATATGTGTATACGAGCTTAGTCAGCAGGTCCTAAGGCAATGATAATCAAGTCTGGATTGAAGTGACATATATACTTATGGACGTTTCAGAGAAAGATAAAAGGCAGAATGAACGAAAAGAACCGGGTGTATACTAACTAGACTAAGCGTATACTCAATTGAGATTATAAATACCACAATATCTGGTGAAATAACAACTGGACTGACGACAGATACGTAGGTCGGTGGGACAGCACCGCTGAAAGCGGAGAGGCTGTTGCCAGTGTCGGTGATAAAAGCCCCACTCGAAAAACTAAAATTATCTAGTATCTGAAAGAAAAGACATAAATGCCTGAAGCAGGGATAGTTTTACATACCAAAAACCTGTGAAAAGCGATAGCTACTCCATTTTAGCTACCACGAGGTGATAATAAAAAATAAATTATTTTAATTAACAAATGAAGCGGGAGGGTGCGGGCGGGTAACGGGAAACTATAAATTTACTTGGAGTGGCCTAACAGTGTAAAAATATTCCTATAATCGATTTCACCACCTTGCATGTACAGCTGGGTTCTTATTAAGACCTATGAAGATTCTCTCTACCTTCTACTGCTTCTAGAAAAGTCTTTAGACAGTATCTCTATG